TTTAAAATAAATCGCCCTAATTATAAATGGAATATAGGCGATTTATTTTAAAATCTCACAATTGCGCAATTATTTCCTTACACTTAGCCTTTAGCTGCTATCCTAGTTTTTAATTGGAGTTAATCAATCAAAAAGTTTAGAATGTAATTATTAATTTGTCAGAATTATGTTATCAGCATCTTGACAGAAATGCATAACGAAACAGCTTCACAGTGGCACTTAATGGCCTTGTAAGCAGCGCGAAATGTGAATCAAACAAAGAAGCATTGCCTTAATCGGCCACCAATTGATGAGGCGCTGCTAACTTTAGGCTTATGCTCAATAGCATAGAATCACCACCCCCAAAAAACAACCTTGACATTCTGCAGCCAATCGCTAAGGCACATTGTGAACATGAGCAAGTCACAATACCTAGAGGCCCATAACAATCCTCATTTTTTTTACTCCTAAATCTGCTCCTGAAATTATACCTAAACTCCTCCGATGTGGGTAGAATACTTCAATTGTCTTGAACAGCTCAAAATCTAGAACAAAAACGAAATTCCTGACTTATTGATTCAGCTCTTGCAAACAAACACATGTGGCTAATTTCTATACGCCCCGTTCATATTCACAGCTCACCTGCACTTGCAGCAATCCACCCGCGCCTTCCCCTTCTATGGCTCACCCTACTAAAGAAGCACAATCCACAATCCACTGTCTCTAAAATTCCAACTCCGATTCTCATCATCAATCCTTACTTCTGTGCTAAAAGAGAAATAAACTCCAGCAATTAATATCTGACAGAAAACAATCACATCAGGGGACCATAAATGTTTCACCTGTGAAAGTGGCTAGATTTCCCCAACTACTAATTATCCTCTCATCTATTTAGGATAGAAGTAGGTCGACTTACGGTGGCAAACTTCTGTGAGAGTGCATTCTTCTCCTTGGTTACAGTGGCAAGTCTGGTCTCCAAGTCGGTGAGGGTCCGATTGGTCTTCTCAAGATCGGCTTCGATAATCGAGATACGCTCCGCAGACTGTTCGCTGACGGCCTTCAATTGACCCTCAAAGTACTGTCGTTGAGAATCCAATTGGCTCACGAGGAGAGCACTAAACTCCATGCATAGATTGTCTGTCTTCTTGTCTCCTGTCTCGCCCCCCTCACCCACCTGCCAAAGTGAAATAATGAAAAGCTCAACTTCGAGGAATCAGAAGAGAAATTGCATTTCACTTATCATATGTTGACCTATCGTTTATCAGTGTTCTACATCAAATATACATAATTCTTATTATCATATTAGGTGTGAGGCGAAAGCATTACTCCTCAGTGAACACCTAACGATAACGGCATACCAACGAACTTCTCCTATTTGTAGAAGTTAGGTATCAAGCAAGTTATAATTCTAAGTACAGGGTCCTTGCGCGAACCGACCCTCAAAGTATCTTAAGGCAAATGCTGTGTAATTAATTTGCACAGGTCAAATGTTCACCTTCAATAATCTCTTATTCTTATTACCGTGCGTTAAAAAGGACACCACATCGGAGAGTTAGAGGGGGTTACTCAAGAAATGACACTTGTCATGGCTGGGTCATTTTGCAGATGTGATTATATTAAGCAGATCAAATAAGCACATTGCATGCCGTAACATCAACCTAGCCGCCACCAGTCCAAGGGGGCTTTAGAAATATCGAAATGAAGGAGGGCAGGTGGAGGGAAGGCGGCAACATGGGAAGAATAAAAAAGTAAATTTTTGGATTAAATCGAAAGCCAATAAGAATAAGGACGAAAGATTTACTCTCAAGGGAACAAAGCACTTCGCTTAGGTGTTCAACTCATGTCTGAGTACACTTCGTGCAATCATTTTCAGTATGAGATAATGATCTTCCTACTTCCCACTTTACTATCATGACTAATAAACAATTTTGATGCAAAGCACCTAGTTGATGGCAAAAGGCTTTTTGGAGAAAGTAGAAAAGTTCACGTGAGACAGCTTTAATAAATGCCCGATAAAGAAACATAACTAAGGTATTGATCCTTCTGCAAAACACCCGTAATGTTCCTAATGGGCACTATCAAATGATTCATCCGATTTAAAAAAAAATGTTGCTTTCAATGGATAAAAATTAACAAACATCTTCCTTTGTGACAAGAAATTGATTCTCGTCAATGGCAATCAGGTATCCCTATCAAATTTCAGTTTTAACTAACAGGAATTTCGTTTAGTATTTCATTAACTTGGACTAAATTGAAAATTCAGTATAAGTCTAGAAAAAATGGGGCAACATGAATATAAATAAATTGCATTCATGTTTGTGAAAAACGCCACCTACCTGAACTAGCTTGCCATCTTCGAGGTTAACGGCGATTCGGTGGACATAGGCATCATCGGCATAGTCCCAGACCAGATTGGTAGTAACTTCCAGAGCAAATGTGTGACCGGTATTTTCAAAGTGCGCGTAGGCGTGTTTGTGACCATAACGCCCACAGCCCAGATTCCCGCATATTAGACAAATCCACAAATTCTCCCTCAAATCACAGTCAGCACACTTGCTCTCCTCCTGCATCTCCGGTGATTGGACATATCGACACACTGGACATCTAAATGATTCCGAAATAAAAAACCTTATAGTACTAACACTGTATCAGTAGTTTTAGATATGCATTGGCCGTGGAAACTGTGATTACAGAGGATGGTTGTCAAAATTCCCGCAACTGGTTCATCCTAAATACACATGTAACAACAACGTGAAAGAGAACTCACAAGTTTTTCAAGACACACGGGACAAGAAGGAAGCTCAATCCTACCCTTCAATGGAAAGGACGCGCCAAAAGATCCATTTGGGGAGGTTGTTATTGCCTCAACATGTGAAACATAGCACAGCTGACAGGTATCAGATTCAAAACTGTTGTATTTACATCCGTTAAAGGCTTCGTAGAACTGGTCTGTCGCTTCCTAACATGGAATTGCAAAATAAGTGACAAAAAATTTACAACATACGGGAGTCTTGAACATTAAAAGTGCCATATAATGGCCAACTCGATTAGATTTGACCACTTTTAATTCTATTATATTTCCGCTAATCTATAACTGAGGGAAAAACATTGCATACCTCATTGGTGAAATAAAATCTAATAAATCCTTAACCGTGACGCTACAGGGAATTCCCAAAATGCAAAGCATTTCAGACTGGACAGTATTTTTGTGTGACGATTTAATGGGCCTAAAAGAAGATTAAAGGGAATGCGTCACACACTTTGCAAACATGTGGATAATTCCCTCAGATTGTTCATTTAAAGGATTTCCAGCAATAAATGCAACACGATCAGACTTCTTCCAAGGATTGGGCATATCTAAAAAACATTAAAACATTGAAAGAACAAACTTTCTATTGTAGTGACTGTGATGGTTGTAAATTCTCGACAACCAGTATGTATTGTGTAAGAGTTGTCCGTTGTACTCGAATTTGCTTCCAACAGATCCTCAAATAGTGAAAATGCTGGGATATTATTATTGAGAAACATCATACCAGAATAGAAAAAGCTTTTACGAAGTTTAGGAGATCTTTCGTTGATTAAAATAATAATCGAACGACGATCGACTGGTTCCATTAACGGCAAAAGGTCAATTCATACGACTTCAGCTGCAAATTCATTGGTACTCAAAAAATGTCCTTGAAAGCTTGTCTAAAAAATTAGAAGTCGTATGCTTACTATTCCATTTATAGTATGGGTTTATTATATTTATAGAATTTATGATTCCTAATATTTTTAATAATATTCTTTTCGTAAAAGTGGTGCTGTCAACATGAAATATTTAATTAATATATATTAGATTTTGGGTTTCGAATTGATCAAATTGAAATTGGCATTGCGTCATGTTAATTGAATTTTGAAATTGATTTAAATATACCTTTCAGACTACGGTATCGTAAAATTAATGCATGGGTATTTTTAATCCGTGCTTTATATTTACATCATATAATCTAAAAAGGATGCTGGATTAGGGCTTAGTGAATCAAAACTAAAGTTGCCGCAGAACCTGACACTGAAGTCACAAACGACGATGAAACTTTTTATAAATCAAAAACTTGTACAATATGATAATGGAGTTTCAAAGTTGCAAACAGTTTTTTTAATTCATTTTTCCAATATTGATATTTAATTTTATAGATACCACCACGTCATAGAAGCTAAAAGAAAATCGATTGTCTGTTAGTTATAGATAATTAAAACTGAGTTTTTATGAAATTGAATTTTTCATAACTGTTCTCTTTATCAAATCTTAATCCGTGATAATGTTAGTGTCTACTCGTACATAGATTTAGATTTAAGAGGGTTGACATTACTAACGCAGTAAATAGTTTCCTATTTAAGCTATTTGATTTAATTTTTAGCATCCGTGTATGCGCTCTCACTAGTTATTGCACAGTTTCCAATTTGTGCATTTTATAATTTTTTTAACTTACAAAATGAACACATCCACTTAGTTACCTATCAAGCATCCGCTTTCAATAAAAGGAAACTTGGAATTGAAATACAAACCAGAATATTCTCAGTTGAATACATCGACAGGATTGACGTCTCGCGAAGAAGTTATCGTATATTTGTGGTTGTTTTTTGCCATTTATCTGAAGTACAATGACAGACACAACTCCCCCACCCCCACGGATCTACCAGCGCAAATCACTTGATTTATTTCTTAAATTTGCACCACGTCTCAGTAATAAATGTAATTGTGTTAAATAATTAAATGTCTTTGGGCTTTTGCATAAATTAGGATCACACGAAGAATAGCTATTTTAATCATTAAAGAGATGATTAAATTTATTATAGATAAATTATCTACACACAATAAGGAGTATTTATAAGTAGATGTTTGATTTATGCATACATGAATTTATGTATAAAAAGAATAAATGCCTTTAGAGAGCACTGTAGACCACTTTTTCGTCGGGAGCTGCCGTGGCCTGGCAGACAACAGAAGAAGAGGACGCTTGATTACTTGGAGCCACCGAAGTGGATGTGGAAACAGCGGATGAACCAGTATTTCCACCACTCCCTCCGGTTTCATCGCCGCCACTTGCCGCACTCTGAGCCATAGACACCGTGCTGGACGACTTATTTGAAGCTGTATGTGCGGAGAGCGCTGAGAAGAAATTGGGCATCGCGTTAACATTGCATCCACCTCCACTCATTGCTGACATAACCTGAAATTGACAACCAACTTCACATGGTATCAAACTGCTCATTATGTTTATGCCTAATCAAGAGTAAAGGATGGATTACATGCATCAAATATTAGTGTGTAAAAGAAAATAGGTTGTTCAGGTCAAAGATTCTATAATTCTATGACTCCTAGCTTCTGATAACCTCACACCTTTTTTATTTAAGCGTAATATAACGAGCAATCTCCTACGTGCTTTGTTGTTTGCCCGTACTAAAAAGCAAAATTCGAGATTCAATGAGTGAAAGAGCAAAAAATAAGCCTGATGGTAATACGCATGTAAAGGCTCAAAACACATTTGCCGAATTAATAGAAATGTCTAAGGCACGTTAGAACTAACCCCCTTGAATGAATTATCCATGTGAGATGCCATAGAGCCTGTCGAAGGAGGCTGTCCGCCGGTGGAGTTGGTTGGAGGTGCTCCAGTGCTGTGCATGGCAGCAGCAGCCGCGGCGGCTGCAGCGGCGGCAGCGGCGGCTGCGGCAGCCTGGTGTTGATCGGGCGGTACGAAAAGGCCTCCCGTGAAGCTGGGCTGCTGGGGGTGGCAACCCACTGGCAACAGGTGATAAGACGCAGCCGGGTTCGTAGCTGTCGCAGCTGATTCAAGTAAAGATAGCTGTTTTATACGCTACACTCTACATGGATAGCCAAAGCGTACTTCATTTCCTTAGTTTTCTCGTCCTTCGTAATATCGATCTTGGTGAGTCATTCTTAAAAGTTTTCTCCCTTGGCTTGACTTTACTTAAACTTGTCCGATTTCCTTGAAATTTGATATTTTACCTTTTAAATTTACATAATGGATTGTGAAAGTCTTAATAAATTTCCTCGATAGTATAAATCGGTTTATCTCACCAATAATACTCGAGTTTACATTGAAGAGATGCGTCCTCTATCCACATAATCTAGATAATGAATTTCAAACTTCGCTCTTATCCTTAGTCATTTATACAATTTACAAATCACATTGCTGTAGCCTTTCTTCTGTTCTTTTTGAAGCACGAATTGAATATCGGCTTCCAATCTTGTGAAGAGTGGAGTTCATTTTCCTTTATTTAAGAAAATGACATTACTGCTTTAAGCCCTTTGCCCATTGGTTCTGCAAAAACTGATTTGCCTTATGTGGACAATAAATGAACTCACTTGGTGCGGAGGCCAGGTAGAGTTGCTGATGGTAACCAGCAGCTGAGTTAGCGTTCGGAGTGACGGTAGATTGGGATCCAGTGAACACGAAATGTTGCTGCTGCTGCTGCTGCAATGTCTGTTGGGTCTGCTGTGAAGTTTGTACACCGAATGCATGTTGTTGTTGTTGGTTTTGCACCTGGGTCGATTGTTGTGAGTTCTGCTGCTGTTGTTGCTGTTGTTGTTGTTGGGAGAGGCCTTGAGCTTGATGGGACATTCCTCCAGAAACTGCGGCAGCCGCCGCAGCTGCAGCCGCGTGCTGATAAGCTGACCACGCGGCTGTGGGTTGCCAGGCAACCATACCCGCGGACTGACCTGCTGCTGATTGACCCATGAGGAAGGGTTGGAAGGGCGAGCCATAGCAAGCAGTGGTACCACTTGAAGCATTAGCTGTTGCCGATATTGCCTGTTGAGTGCCTGGTGCTGGTACAGCAATCGATACCATAGGTCCTGAGGTCATAAATTGACCATTTGCTGAGACAAACATTTGATGGGGATGAGCAGCATGAGTCTGCGAAGAACCGGGAGTCTGGAAATGCGCTCCTGGTTGCATGGTGAAAAACTGTGGTTGTTGAGATGCTTGAGCCTGCAGAAATGAAGGATGCAGTTGCTGCTGAAATTGATCAGGCGAAAAGAATGGATTTGCTGCTGATAAAGCCTTAGTTACTTCATTGCTTGTTTGTTGACTTTGTATTCCACCTGCTGTCTTCTTTTTCTTTCGAGATGATGCTGTTGCTAAAATACAACGTACTCATTTAACATAAGTAGCAAACTATGCAGTTATAATTCTCTAGAAAACAATATCAACAGCACTAACACTATCAATAAGCGATAAACATGTTTACTTATGACTTTCATTACCTTTAAAATCACCAACCAATGTACATATTCTATTTGAAAACATGCAAGTAATTCAAAAGGATGATTCGCGAAGTCCAAGAAATCTATTAGTACTTGGAATGTTAACAAAAGGAATAAAGTCTCGAAATCTTTTTGAATGATTTTAAAGCAATTGCTTAAAATTTTCATTAATTAGGAAAGCTCAGAAAGACCGTGTGAGTATTAGAATCAAAGCCAGTATCTTATTAGCGAATAGATGACTAATCGCATTTCCATTATGATAGCATAATATGACTTTACACAGTGAAGGGGCGAGAGGGGACAATGGAGGAGAGAGCGCGCGCCTGATTCCGGACAGCATGGACGCGAGATAGAGGGTGGTAAAGCTGTCCGCTGCGTCATCTCCTCGCCCCCCTCCCCCTTCCCCCTCCTCCCCCCTCACCACCCAACCTGGATTTCCACATACGTACGCGCGCACATATCGCGAGGGCATAAAACGAAGTCAGCCAGCACGTGGAGAGCGAGTAGCAGGCGGCACGTGTAGGTGCGGAGTGTGTGTGTGTGTGCTAGCTAGCGGAAAATCGATCAGTTCGAGCGCGAACACACGCACCTTGAATACGCACGCGTCTAATGTTTGCGCAAAGAGTACGAGGGTGAGTGAAGCAAGGACATTGCAGTTAGCACTCCGCACGCAGGGAGAGATATGCGTACGCGCATGCGTATGCGATGCGATGCGAGAGAGAGAGAGAGAGAAAGAGGGCAGAGTGGTCGATGGCTGACTGGCCGTAGATTTCCTACCTTCTTGTCTGACTGCCTAAACGCCTGGGCTAGCTGGTTGGAACAGCTACTGCTGTTGGATGGGACGAAGGAGGGAGAGAGATAGAAAACGAGAGAGAGAGAGCGAGAGAGAGAGAGAGAGGGAGAGAGAGAGGAATTAGGGGAAAAGGGGAGAGGCCCATGGAAGAGGGAGAGAGAGAGTGTGGGAGAGAGGGAGAGAGAGAGAGAGAGAGGGAGAGCGAGAGAGGGAGGGAGAGAGAGAGGTAGTGGAGGGAGAAATGGAAGTGAGAGAGATCTCCATGTGAGAATTACTACGATAGTCTTCTGGTGTAACCAATTCTCCAGAGACCAACATGGACATTTTCACTTATTGAATAAACGAAAGTTGTTACAACGGTTTGGAAATATACATGATCGAGGTTAAGAGTGAGGAAGAAAGTAATAGGCTGTCTTTTGATATGAAAAAAAAACAGTTGAAAAAGTATTATATCAAACGTCTTGGTGATGCCTACTTTAAAAGCATAAGCGATATCTCTGATTCTATCACAACTTTTGTCGACTACGTATAGTCTTCACAACCTCCGTTTCATTAATTTCAATGTTAGACCTTTAACATCATCTCGGAAAGCGTGGTGGTTATTAGCTTATAAAGAAATTTTGACGTGATGAAAGCACTCCATCAGGTGGATTAATAGGTTAACCACTCAATTTGCCAAAGACTCCATGAACCTGTAGAAGGAAAATGTCTTTTAGGAAGCCGGTTGAGGAAGAGAAGAAGCCTCCTCAATCGGGCAACAGTATCGGATGCATATGAGGGAGAAATAGAGAACAAAAGGACTTCAAACATGCCTTGTTCGAGTAGACGACCACGATTCCGCCCTCCTTTGACGTTCAAATGCCAAGGGGTCGAAGTTCAAATGCTCAAATGCAGTGCTCAGATGGGAATAAAAGCTGTCAAAAAGTGGGCTGTGCAATACCCCAAGGCCACAGGTCAGTAACGGAGTGAGGGTGATTTAAGAACTGGCAGACTACTTGTCAGGGGTATTCTTTATAAATGTCCCAATTTTATAAAGAATTGGTTAATAATTGAACTACCGAAGTATTCCAACTGAAGGAAAAATTTTTTAAACAACTTATACTTATATTCCTGCGACAAGATATGTATTGAGAGTTAAATCATTAAATCATTCGAGTATCGACCTAACATTGAGCGACAACTGAAAACGGACTACTTGGTATTTTTGCATGAATGCCATTGAGGGATAACAATGGAGTCTAAAGTGATTACGAGCAGTGAAAAAAAAACGAAAAAATGGGTTGGTGGAAGGAAAAAGTCCCCGTTTCCCGTAAATCTATTTGCAATAAATTGATTTATCTCCAATCGCTTAGGTAAGACTGTAATGAATTTCTCTCATAGAAAAAAAGGACAATAATTATTAACAAATGAAACTCTGAATTGGATGAAAATTTTGTTCAGGCACATATTTTTGCTAACGGGAGATTAGAGTCAATGATTTTTCGACCCAAACAATCAAATAGAGAGGACTCGAAATCTTTCCCACTGCCCTCTCACAGTTAAATAGCATTCCAATTGTTAAAAATTAACAAAAAAATCCTGAAGTTATCAACATGATATATTAACTGATATATTTTTTTTACAAAAAAAAATGTGTTTCTCTGTAGTGATATTTGAATAGAGGTAACTGCTCAGAATGATAGCCCCTAATCAATGGGCTAAACTACATTTTTTTGCATCCAAACAACGATTGTGAAGGCACCGAAAATCAAAGGTTGTTGAAAGTTCTAAGACAATGAAGTCTGAAGTAATTCAACTGAAACAGCGCAAATGACATTTAGTGTAATAAGTGACGCACCTCATATTCTGACCACAGCTTCCACTTAAATCATCCCTGCATTCATGCTTCTCCCATTCTCATCATTAAAATTGTATCAACAGCGAAACTAAAATAGATATTTTGGAGAAATGGCACCTTTAAAGTCCCGTTAGAGGTAACTTCAAGATCGTTCAAAGATGTCCTTCAATTGGTTATGCCTTAAACTCAATCTCAGAATAAATGATGACATCCTAATGCCCTATCTTTTTTAAAATTTATAATTGAAGTCAGTATTAACGATTGCGCGCTTATTTAAAGCAGTGATTCCACCGAAAGTGTGATAAAGGTTGTTATATTTTGCGCCACTATGTGCAGTCTTCTATATTGACTGAGAACTGCGCTCGAATTCATTCTGTAAGCCTAATAATTGGTTCAAAATAACGCTTGATGACTAAATGGAAGCAATAAACAAAGAAAACAAAGGAAACGTGCCAAAACACCGAATAATCCCCCTAAGTACATGAGAGGCAAATAATTTCAAGCCACATTTAGACTCTCAATCTCCCTGCGATCCTATAGCCAAGCAGCAAAGTGTGTGCTTGTTACAATGGATAAAATGGTATGGCAATGTAAGTGTCCAAAATAAGCACATACCGGGAGTGGAAGTATTTTGCTCGACCCTGGCAATGGGATTCGAGCCTTGCTGTAAAGCCGAAGCGGCGGCTGCAGCTTCGGCTTTCCTTTTCCGACGACGTTCTGCCTTTCGCAAACTCTTGGGATCAGGAGTCGTCACTCGAAACTCCGTATAGTCAGCAAAAACTACTTCTGAGTCCTCTAAATGCGGTCTCTCACCACGAAGATGCTCCCGTAGCTTGCGCAAAGCAACGAAGAAGGGTAATTTGTCTTCCGCCCTCGGTAATTGAGCGCACCGCGCGCTCGATGAAGGCATCACAAATATCACCTTAATAAAAGTAAATATTGAAAGAGAAAAAAATTATAATGCTTACCGTATTTGTGCCTTCTAATGGCTCTGGTTGCTTTCCCATACTGAAATTTTTGTGTCCGACAAAGGTCTCGTATATACCCTTTCCATTGAAAACTGCAATTTTTGGTTTGAAGCACCGAATTTTCTCAAGCATAGCAACAGAACCTTCTTTTACATCCTTACGAGAGAGATCAGAAGTACCTTTAGTTGATCTAGTGCAAATGTTAGTGAAGCCAATTCCATATTTGAGAACATTAGCATCATCCTTAAAGTCGACAGCAACAGGAACAAGCCTTGATTCGTATAAGCATGTCCCTAAATTTTGAAATGATTGATTTAAGTTGTCTTACAAAAATGGTTTCCCGTTCCAGCATAATGGTGACAAATATTACCAGATCCCAAGCTTGGATTGATGCCAATCTTAAAAATGGGACAAATGATAAAATAAATCTACCACAACAATGTCCAGATTCTCCTTGAGATAATCAGGAAGCATAACTCCGACAACAGTTTTACCATTTACTTCTTTTCTTATGGTAGTTTCATTGTTATTAACATTCTGATTGGAGATTTGAGAACTGACATTCATAGGATTTGTAAAATCACTGTCAACCTTCATTATAGAATTAACAGTATTTTCACTTAAATTTCTAATGTAACAGTAACAAAAGCAATAAAATACATTGAATCTGGCTTTGTTTCTATTGGGTTTCTATAACACTGAGCCCAAGCCATAACGCTAACTCGATAAATGAATATTTAAAGTTGTGAATGATATATAAGGTCACTTGACTTCAATATTTTCTGCATAGTTAAAAGTCAACACTGGCTTTAGACATAAATGCAGTTATAAAAATTCAATATTTAATATTCATAATAATTTTTAATTGAATTTTTAACCATTTTGTTATTTTTTCGTATTTAATATTTGTATTTACTTTCGCGCAAGTTATAAACAATATTCAAATTAATACCATATAAGTGGAGTATTCCTTCTAAAGAGTATTCATGGCCAACGAATTCACACATATAATTGCCTTATCTCATTGAAGAAATGTAGGTTTCCATGTTGCGATGAAAAATAAGCTGGAATTTTAACTTTAACTTAAAATCTTTTATAAAATGTTGCTTTATTTCTCCATGAAAATTGTCCTATGCCGGTCATTTTTCTTCCATTCAAAATAACACAAAAATTTATTAGGCTTTATTAGAATGTAGCAATTCATTATAAGGGTTGTTATATCTTATTTTATTTCAAATGGCGGGCGTTTTGATAGTTATTATTAGCTCTTTAGCCGACTTCGGGCTTCATAGAGAGGAGGAGGAACGTCAAAGTAACAAAAAGTCGAGAGGAGTGACAGAATAATGATTAACAGATGCGAATGAGTCAGGCAGACACAAAGGCAGAGAAAAGGTAGGCTGAATACTGTGAAAGGGTCGAATATGACATACAGTGGGGTCATGGTATGAGAATGCGTTGTCCCGGGGTGTACCACTTGAAGGTAAGTCTATCGCACACTGCTTTTAGGGTTGTTATAAGTTAAGAAGCCTTTAGAACTAAATTTAAGCTTTACAAATTCCAATGTCCACTTACTATCAAGTATTCCCAGACGCTCAGATTACCGATTTGCACTTTTCAGAAACCAAGTTAGTTTTATTTAATTTCACAAATTTAGCTATGATAAATATTCATTTGGCTGTCTGATGTTCGCCACACACTTCAACTGTTCAATTATTTCTCAGCAATAGCTTTGTAGTGCAGAGGGACTTATTGAACTTTTGATTGATTACAAAAAATTGAGATATTTAAATTTAGTACATACGTTTCCTCATATTATATAATGATTTATATGTTGTCAATTTATGCAGATCTGTGCCTCATCGTTGGATGAGGTGAATAATTCATATCATGTTTAGGGATAGGCCAATATTGGGTGGCCGGGAAACCACTCCCGACTTATTGTTAGGTAAATGCGCCATATTTTGTAAGACGCTAGTATTGATTTTGATTTTTCAATAGAAAAATTTCTCTCCTTTTGCTATCTATGCCCAAACACATACATACGCTTATGTCACTTATGTAGTCGAGAGATTTTGCAGCCAGTCGATTATATTCGATCGTCAAATTTTAATTATCATTTGATGCCTAAAATGTATCACCATCACTAATAGACCGTTAAGATCGACTCTTCGTCATATTATGTAGTTGCCGATTTTTCATATTCCCTAAAAAAGTACTCTAGATAAAGAGCACAATATTACCAAACGCCATATGGCAATAGAACATACAGAACGACAGTTCAGTCTAAGTTTAAGTAAATTTGTTTGAATAAGAGACTTCGGGGATTACAAAGCCAATGTTGACCTTGAGCCAAAACGGCATGCCAAGGTCGGTGCATTTTATTGAATTACCTTTTGCCTATAAAAAATAACGCAATTCAAATTTATTTGGCCTAATAATCACTGGGTGCTCAGATCTTGCCCCATAGGAGAATGTCAGCAGAAGCTTCACTATTTGGGCGTTTACTTTGCACCTCGGACTCAGGAGTCATCGTAGATGATAGCGACGTTCAAGCAAATATGTCGAATTGAAAGTGATAACTTTTATTATTTATGGGGGTTGGGGGGGGGGGGTGGATCCCGTCTACAGTTGTCAGGTTAGATTTCGAAATAAGACTTCTACTTTTTTTGTGCACTTTTGTCACAGAATCTATCTTCCACACTCCTCTCCAAACCTCAACAGCCAGGGAAAATATTGGAAGGTGTCTTTATTTCTTTGTACTTCATTAAAACGATCGATGTCTGATCTTGCAACCTTGAGGACGAAATGAAAGGAGAAAAATTACATTTTCAATTCAAATAAATCTGAGTTAAGTTTGTTTGTTTCAAACATGAACATATTTTAATTCAAAATCTTTAAATAGTTGAACCACGGTTACCTAAGAGATGCAACTTCTATTCAATCAGGTCATTAAAGTTCAGATTATGAAATTCTTAAAATCTTTCAATTTATTTGATTTCAAGATGAGGAAAAAATAATTCAAGAAAAGAATTAAGAGTCTCTTGCGGACACATACAGATCCCGTATTTGAAAGAGACGCTGATATTTGAGGTTTCACTTGAAGGTGAACACTCTGTTCCTTCAAGTTTTAGATTGGAGAAGCGAGGAATGAATAAAAAGGCCGAATGTGATTAAGAGTTGATATAACATCTGGGATAATCTCGTGAACTCTTTTTATGCTCAAACCAGTGTTATTTCCTAACATGCTAAAAAATTTATCATCAGTAACAAGAGTAACTTTTGAATATCTTGGATCTTTAAAACAATCAACTAGCGTCTCACGGAGTTTAGTACAGATAGTTAAGATAATGGTGTCGCTTGAATCTGAAGATACTAAAAAATTTTCATCCAGGGACTCTAAAGGATCTGGAGATTTATAAATTTTTCCGAATGAATCTAGTATCCATATGTTTCTTTTCCTCGATTGGGGTTCACTTTGAAGTATTTCAAAGATAAAATCAAGGATCATTTCTGCTCTGGTGCCAAGGCTTTCCATAGTCCATAGACCGGAATCGTTAGGACAACTATCAGTCTCTTTCGGTTCAGTGTACTTCGGGTCGTGTGTGGCTTTGACCATGTGTCCCAATTCATCTAAAACTTTGATCGGGATAAAATGGATAAGGGTATCTGAAGTATACCACGCAATAAATAACCGGAAGACTTCAACTGTATGATGCAGAAAGCAATTGGTATCATACACAAAGCACTCGTGCTTGGCTATGTCCATGATATCTGGAGCACTACTTGCATGGGCAGTTAGGTAATTTAATATATTCTTAACAATGTCATCACTCTCAGGCATGTGTCTTGGTGGCATCGCTTATGCGAATGTGGTTTTGGATTCCAATCAAATCTCCCAAACTTGCTGTTACGTTGGCATGGTGATCTGGCTCAGCTGACTGAAAATAACATAGTTGATAATCACTATTTACACGCATGACCCACACGAGGAATGGGTTTAATCAATAATCAAATTCAACTTCAGGAAGTAATTATTTAATTCTAGAAATATTTCATTGTCGGAAGGAGAACTTAGAACGTTTTACTTTCATTGAATTTTTCGTGCACGCACTCATAGTAACGTCCTCGAATGGAATTTTATTTTGACATTCCTTGAAATCGACCTTAAATGCAGCATCAGTGCCGTGGGTCCAAGTGGACAGAATTCAATCAAGTCACCCCCCGAAAAAACAAAGCTCGATGCTTTTAAATTGTTGAGCCTGTGTGGTAAGTTGCATTCTTCGGATCCACTTTGACAATCTTTCAAGCTTAATTACAAAACCCACGATGTCTTCACAATCTTACGCGCGCTCTCTCTCTCTCTCTCTGAATCTCTGAGTCTCTCAAATTCAGTCGTGAATGTCACTTTCTTGTGTTCACGAAGTCTCTGCAATCACCAAGCTCTCCTTTCTCCAGCTTTCTGAAAGTGGGGGGGGGGGGGGGGGGGGGGGGGGAGGGGGAAGGGAGCGATAGCTCATCAAGAAACCTGCAGTCGTCGAGCTAGCTGGCTTGCTTCTCTTCTGCAAAAAACTCAAAACTCAATTCGTGAAAACCGTTTATTGCACCCATGTTCACTCATAACACGCGCATTTGTTGTGGCGTTGTTATGCCCAATGGCAGGCGTTTTGATAGTTATCATTAGCCCTTTAGTTGACTTCAGGCTCCACAGAG